TCTTAGCTACTGAAATTCCTCATTTCCATATACCAAAACCACTCCAAAAAATCTGATATAGCCAAAGATCTGTTGTGGCTAAAATAGCCTAGACTAAATTGACACATTGTGAAAAATACAATGATCAAATTGACACATTGTTTGACTTTTCGTTAAATTAACTTAATAACCGTTATTTATTGGACTAAAATGACACAATATATTAAATTAAAGGGTAAAATTGAACAAATTGAAAATACAAAGACTAAATTGACACATCTGGTAAATTATGTGGACTATTTGCATAATTTTTCCTATTTTGAATTATATTATTGAGAGGGTAATTTTTGGGAAAAATTGGGCCGAGCTGAGAGTTGGGCATTGAGGCCCAAAACGCGAAGGACTAAGTAAAAAGGCCGTAATGGCTACTTCGGCCTAGGGGCATGGTTACTCCGGCCTTAAGGAGACAAAGTTACTTCGGCCCGAGGAGGTGAGATTACTCCGGTCCAAGGAAGAGTAAAGCCACTCCGGTCCGGAGACAACTCGGAGTTAGGCCGGTCTCGGAGTTAGTCCGGCCGCAGTATGTTCTGGGAAGACCGGTTTCAGAATTAGTCCGGTCGTGACATACAGCGGTTGGGACGGTCAGAACTTGCTACTTGGAAGTTTGAGCTAAGCACATCAAGGTCAAACAGGGCAGCCGAAGTAATCAATTGGAGGAGCAGACCGAGCTAAGTATAGTTCGGCCCTCTGTGGCTCGGTATAGCCAATTTTACTTCGGTCATGTGGAAGTTCGGTCATATAAAAAACCATCCCACTTGGTTTAAGCAGTGGGGGAGGGTGCAAAAGGATAAGCATTATCCTTAGGAGAATGAATCCTAGGAGGACTCTGCATGGAGAAGTACAAGTCCTACTAGGATTGTGCCATACGAAACTTATAAAAGCTCACAAGCATCACCTTGGAGGAGGTAATTGGACACAATCTTTCTGAGAACTTAGAGCTTTGTCTATTTGTCAAGTTTTCTGACTTAGGCATCGGAGAGGTTTCCGGCACACACCCGCCGGCTAGCTCACGTTTGTGTTTTCAGGTAACAAAGCGACGTCGTGCGGAGGAGCGTGGACTTGGTCAACAGGATTATACGAGGAGAATTATTTTCTCCCCGTACAGCTGGGTTTTGAACTTAGTACATGGGACTTATCAGTAAGTTCCTTTTAAAAATTTTGATCATCTTAACTTTGATTGATCATGGACACATTTTTTGTGTGGATCAATCGAATAGTGATTAATTTACTTTAAAATTTTAATGTTTACCGTACGAAGAAGGTGTATACTCCTATGTCTTGTCTAAAATGTACATTTCAGTAGATATGGTGGCAATGAATTCTAATGAATTGTACTTGTTATTTTCACTAGAAATTGAACCTATTACCGTGCTAAAATTTGCAATTTTGATATTTCTATTTCTATTTCTATTCACCTGCATAGGTAGAATAGAAAGTCATGCAACATGACTAAGCCACAAATACACACACACACACGTTCCTCATTCCACACCAACTCAATTTCATCAACACTATAACAGATGAAATGCTGCATTTTGTTTTAGGGTTATTGCAAGACTAGTGAGGGATTTGAATTTGATGTAAGTATGGGTACAAGGCAGAAGAAAGAAGTGGCGGCGACGAGGGGTGTAGTAGTGTTGGTGTTGCTATTATGGGAGGCAGTGTCAGTAATAGCGGTGATAGATTGCACCACCGTGACAGCATTCATCTCAGCTTGCTCTACCTTCGTGACTTATGGATCACCGGACCCATTTCCGGGATCGCCATGCTGTGATGCAGTAGTGGGCCTCAATAGCCTCGCGGATTCTATTGATAACAGGCAGTCCGTTTGCAGATGCTTAATGGACCTCATTAATACTTACAACCCTAATGCTACTGCTATTGCTACCTTGCCTGGTTTTTGTGGTGTCTCTCTCGGCTTCACCATTGATCCTAACACTGATTGCAACTAGTAAGTAGCAAATCTCTCTCTATCTCTCTCTTATGCAAAGACTACTATGATGATATTGATCAAGCCCTTTGAACAGTTTTTGAGTTTTTAGTCAATATATTTTTTAGTAAATTTTTTAAATATTTTAATCATTTTATTTTTACATTTTAACTTCACATTACTAGAACACTTTCACATTACTAGGATTGCCACATGCAGTACTCACCCTTTTCAGGCTTTGGCCTTCAATGTACTATACCAAAAAATAAAAAAAATCACAAAATATAAACTATAATAACAATACTAAGAATTAGGGGTGGCCATTGGCTCGATGGCCCTTCTAGCCTAATTTGATATTTTTAGGGTTTGAAAAAAATATTTTACCTATAGGGCCGAACTACACTGAAAGTTTATACGCATTTAATATTCAGATTGGGTTTGGGATCAAGAGTTCTAGTTCATCCCAGCCCGATTCACCCCATTTATAAAATATTAATTATAATTTTATAATATTTTCTTCATAAATAAAACAAAATAAAATATAAAAGACAAAAAAAAGTATATATACTTCTTTTTAGAGATTCAATTAAAATATTTGTCAAAAATCATATTCATTTTACCATTGAATTTTGTTAATGTTTTTAATCCAAATAATAAATAAAAAGATCTAAATAATTTAATAACTATTCAAAACACAAATAAAAAAATAAAAATAAAATAATAGCTCAAATTTATTGGGTTAAGTGGACAGACCTAAGATGTTTAATTTTTTTAGAGATGTACTTGAAATGAAATGGCTAAATTAGGCTCCAATATCGGATATGGTTAGACTTGAAATAATGCATATATTTTTTTACTATATCGTGCAAACTTAACCTGGACCAAGGTTTATCCACACTGAACTAGAACTCAAAAAAAATATCCAAAAAGTTATCAAGACAATCCACTTTATTTTTAAAGGTGGGTGAACATAACTCCCCCACAGGCACCAACAAAAATAAATAAATAAATTTTAAATTTTATGAAAGTTCTAGATATGAATGTAAAAATAAAAATGAAAACATTGCTATACTGTATCTCTCTATGTTTTCCTGTTATCTTATCATAATTTATATCGCTTTATCTCACCATACATAAAATATATTTTGAATTTTGGATTTGTTAATAGAAAAGATAAAAAAGAAAATGAATTAGAACAAATTATTTTTATTGTCATTTTGGTTGGGCTAAGAAAATGATAAGAACACATATAAATATGTTGGTAAAAAATTTATTATTTTTAAATATCCATAAAATTATATATATAATTACAATTCATTTAACATAATAAATTGAAAATCCGAACATAGAATTACTTTATATTTGAATTTTAAATTTGAATAAAATGAAAAAGATGAGAAAAAGTAAAAGAATAAGCTTTTATTTGTGTCACTTTTTCCTATTTCTTTTTATTTTTCCTGCACAAATTCAAGATATACAAATACAATCTTAAAGTGTGCAGCGAAAAAGATTAGTCTCTATTGCAGAGTTTCTCATGTAGTTTAACATTATTATTATTTGGTGCAGTATCACATGAGTTGGGAGTTGTGAGAGAGAAGGGGACCTTTCCAGTAAAAAATATATATGTGTATGCGGAAGCAAATGAAATAAATAAGAGAGGCAGAGGGGCTTCTCCTCAGTTTGCAGTGGAAAGGAGAGAAGTGTTTTAGATTTCCAGCAAATGAAACAGATTTGTTCGACAATCTTCACTACATGAGTTGGGAGTTGTGAGAGAGAAGGGGACCTTTCCAGTAAAAAATATATATGTGTATGCGGAAGCAAATGAAATAAATAAGAGAGGCAGAGGGGCTTCTCCTCAGTTTGCAGTGGAAAGGAGAGAAGTGTTTTAGATTTCCAGCAAATGAAACAGATTAGATGGATCAATAAAAGTTGTTGTCTTAATTAAATACAAGTTTAATTGTGTATAATCAATACTTGATCATCTCAAGCCTATAAAATAAGTATGGAGGTCTGGAAGGGAGCGTATCCCTTTTGGAGAATTCTTTGTTTGATTTTCATTTATTGCCAAGTATGTTTCATGGATGCGACTGTTAATAGTAGATAAAGCACACATGTTATGTTATACTAGCATCACATGTTATACACTACAATACACACTGTAAAGCACACACCCACTAGCATCACATGACAATACACACTGTAAAGCACACACCCACTAGCACACACCTGTATTGTAATATACCTTTCGGTCACCTTCTCCTCTCTATAAATAGAGAGAGCTCAGTCTCTTGTAATAGATATACAAAAACACAGAGCTATTTGCTCTCTCAATCTCTCTCAATTTGTTATATGGTATCAGAGCACAGGTTTTCTGCCTAGCCTCTTCTTCCAACATAATTTTCTGCAGATTGCATTTCATCTGTATATTTTTTTTTTTTTTCGTCCATCTCTGAAATACAGTTTTCACCACACCAGAGCCTTCATCTCCTCCGGACGATTCCAACGCCACCAATTTCAGTCCAATCCGACGTCACACGCGCCCTCACGCGCCACTTCTGTGACCGGCGCGTCGCCTGCTTCCGCCTTCCGCCTCACACGCGCTCCACGCGTCCTCCACACTGCCCCGTGCTAACGTGCACCGCGCACTACCTTGCTAACGTGCGCCGCGTGTTTCTGACGTCAGCACACGTCAGCCTCTCTGCTACCGTGCACTGCCTGGCCTGTTTTGCTAACGTGCGCCGCGCACTAGCTTGCTAACGTGCGCCGCGCATTTCTGACGTCAGCACACGTCAGCCTCTCTGCTACCGTGCGCCGCGTGGCCTGTTTTGCTAACGTGCGCCGCGCCCTTTCTTGCTAACGTGCGCCAGGCCCTTTGTCTCTCATTTCTGTGCCTCTGTGGTCATATTTTGGGTCGTTTTACTCCTTTTCCCACTAATTTCGGCCTTCTGAATTCACTGGTAACCTCGGTTTTTTCAGATTCTACCTCCATTGTGCTCTTTTTCCCTCATGGATCGCCCGGATTCCTCTAATCACCCTATTTCCGTTATTCTTGACGGGACTAATTATGTCCTTTGGGCACAAGCCATGTCTGGCTTCCTCAAAGGCAAGAAACTTTGGCGTATCATTACTGGGGTGGGGCCAAATAGAGTGGATGAGTTGATTTGTGATGGTTGCTACCTTGGTTTCTTGAAGGAGCAGAAAGTCAGCTTTGTGCTGAGAGATAAGATTTTTGATTCCTCTCCTTTTCTCCCTTTTCCCTAGGCCCCTTATATTCCAAGAGATAATCTTCATGGAAAACAGAATTAAAATTCCATGGATAGGCCGAATGAGTAGATTGTTAAATCCTCTCACCTTCTGTATCGTTATGCTGAAGCTCTTGTTGGCCATGGAGATCATTAAGCTTACTGACGACCTCTTCATCTGCTTCATTACTTTTCAGGCCAAGGAGCTTCCCAATTTCCCACACTGCCTGGGCTTCATTAAGGATGATGCGATTACGATTAGCAATGGCCTCTGAAGAAATAGATAGTGAAGTTGCTGCTGCCGCTGAACAGACTGAAGCACCTTTTCCACCCTTTTTCCTGCCCCCTCTTCTGATGAATTTATTAGCTGATACATTACCCAGAACGTGCTGCAGAAATTTCCTTTTGCTCTTTCTTTTGGAGAGGCCCACTAGCGGTTTAGAGGTTCCACCGACTGGATCAATCCAATGGTTCACAGGTGCTCGGGGAGTTGGTTCGAGAGAATCAGATTCGGAAAGAAGAGAGTCTGGGACGATTGACAGAGAGGAATTTGCAAGAGGATCTGGATGAGATGGAATAGGAGGATGGGGGGATGGAGAACGATGGCAGTGAAGGTGAGGACTGAAGGTAGGAGATTGGGGATTAGGGATGGCTAGAGGAGCCTGAAGGTGGGTTTGGGAGATAGTTACAGATTGAACGTGGGTGGGTCCTCCTGTTGAATCATTTTTGTATGTGATGGGCCGGCCAAATTTGAAGAGCTCCATTGGTTAAAATGAGGCTGAGGGTTCGCAACAGATGGGAATAGAAGGATTGGAGAGGATGGGCTTAGAGGGAGCAAAGGGATCACTTCACCCCAAGTAGAGGTGTGGCCCAACTCCTTAAAGGTAGAGCGAGAAGGCTTAACAGCTTTCTTAACGGCAAGGCTCCTAACAGAGGACGTGCTCTGACAACCCCGTTCCCCGGCATGGCTGCTGACAGTAGGCGTACTCTGACATCCCCGTTCCCCATTCACAGAGGGTTGTCTCTCATCTGTTGGAACTCTGACTGGTGAGATCAATTCCTTACCGTTTGAAAATTGGGTGCCATGCTGTTCGACGCGTATTGGGTGCGTATTGGCCACATCCACTGGGATAGACACGTCATCGTCTTCTTTGCCAAAGAATTCTCCAGCAGCCTTTGGCGTATGAGTGCTCATAGTCTGTTCCTCTGTAACACGGATAATATGCTCATCATGCTTACAAACCAAGGTGATGGCGTGATTAATGACCTCGAGCTGATTTGTTATAATCAGAACTCTGCCACATTCAAATGATAGATGCTTCAACGTTGAGTCATCCACCATGATCACTTCACCCCAAACTCTTCCTATGCTCTTGAATGTGTTGAGATTCCAGAGGTTCAGTGGAACTCCATAGCAGTTGATCCACACTGTTCTTGAGCTGAGGTTGGACAGTTTCCAAAGAGACCATTCTTGTGCATCCTCAAATCTTGAAGTGAACCAATCATTGTTTTTGTGGATTCTGTTACTCATAGCTTCTCGGGAATCAAAAGTAAGGACAAATGATTTACCCCCCATAGCGCGCACCTGAATATTCTTGGCTTCCTCAAGAGAGAGGGAGCTCAATATGGACTGATCTGCAGTTGGAAGGCTTGCTTTCACCACCACACTCCTATGGAGCCATTCAATATCCGCTTCTGTCGCGTGTACTTTGATAGAAGGTTCAGAAGCATGTACCTTATTAGCTTGGTCACTAGCTAGAGCATTGCTTTTGACGATGTC